TAACATCAATTTGATGGGATGTCAGGTCGGTACAAGGTAAAGGATCTGTGTCCAGAGAAAAAGCTGAACTATAACAGAGAATTATTTTTTCTAATGGTTCCCGTAATTGTAATTCTACATGATCTAATCTGATTTTTGTTTTTAACGCTTTGATTCTATCAGTTAAACTTGGGTTTTCAATTTCGATTACATCACCTTGAATTTTGTGCTCAGCATTGTCACCAACGAAACATCGTTGGGTTGTTTTCTATCATGGCTTCCTTGACACGATACTCACCTGGGGCGGTATGTGGGGATAGATCAGTCAGTACAGCATCAGACTCTTAACCTGAGGGTCCAGTATTCGAGCCCCTGTTCGGGCGATAAAAAGACATTGTCCTTTATGACAACAGCACGGGAGAGCTCTGTGTATAAAAAGGTTCCGGAGCTCTCCCAACGTGCAAAGGACGGCCATCGTGGAGGTTTTAGTCGGTAGGAATCCGACACTACCTGAGTCTTCCCTTGAAAGACTCAGGTGTCTTATGAAGATTTCCTCCACGTAAAAAAAAAAAAAAAACATTAAACGTAGAGACTACGACTGGCAAATGACATGAAGACTCACGTCCTTGTAAATTCTATACTGGTCGATGGCCCAGACGGTGGGCACGTGGGTCGTCAAGAGTTGTGACAGCGACACGTGTTTGTTGCAGGCCCTCGCGCAGATCAGCCTGGTCTTTCCAACTGCCGTATCGCCGACGACCACGCACTTGACCAGTTCCTGATGTGGCTGCTCATTGTCCATCACCGACAGTCACCCCTGTTCATCCAATATGGCCTCCTCTCACGTGCCAGGTCGTTCGAAAACGCGGTTTCCTCCGTTGCTACCGTTTCGTCAGTCGAATGGCGCAACGTCCACATCCGATCTTCACCGTGAAAGATGACGCCGCGTCTCCTCCGTCGCTTCCTCAACGACGCTGAAACTGAAATCGTATCGTATACTATACCATTGGTCAATGGATCCACGCACGCGATGTCCTTGGCGAAGAATTCTAAAAAAAATGATCTAATCGCTGCTTGGAAATTGTAAGAAGAAAAAGAAGAATGGCGCTGACGGACAGAGATGAAGGAAACGAGAGGGCTCTAACTTGGTACCGGTTACGTCGCGTGACGGACTGAATCGCACTGTGCATGCATTCGCACTTCCAGTGCGTTTGATCTTTCGTTCAACGTAGCTTTACTCTGATCAACTTTACTCGGGAACAAGATCTTTCACAGATGGATCATAGATTTTGTCAGATGAAAAGAGATTGGAAAGATCGTTCTTGAGCGAAAATTACGCCAAAGTTTTTATACGAGTTTTTTTTTTTATTGAAAGCTAAACAGATGCTGATAATGATGTAGACGTGTGCAGACGTTCGGTCACGTAGACGTAGGTATTTTAAGCTTACGTGCAACGTTCAGACGTCCAGGCACCGTGTGAATATACATATATACGCAGGATGCCTATTGATTTGACCCCGTAAGCGCCTCCTCTATATTTAGTATCGAACGTTCGTAACTTCAACCTCAATCCCTATCGCCTATCACCTTAACCCTGAACCAAGCCATGGACACTAAACGTTTCACCACGAGCTCCAACAACAACGTGACACTGTCGTTGATCGTGTCACCCGCTTTTAATCGAAACTTCGAACCTTCGTTCGATCCGGTTTACACCGATTTCTACCGAAACTTAACCAGAATCATTATTTATATATCGATGCACGAATGCCAGACATATAAGACTTTCTAATTCTAATTTGTGAATTTGTTCGCCTTCGAACATGTATATATGAATACCAATGTCGAAATCGGCGAGCTTGGTTCAGATTGTTGAATTGGTCGACAGTTGGTTCGTTTTCTTCGTTACTTTTTATTATTTTATTTAATTTTCTTTCTTCATTTTAATTTCAGGTAAACTGTGAATATTGTGCGTGTACGTATAATAATGTTGATTATGGAAAAAGTATGGAAAAATCATAAGATTAATAATAAGATATTAAGAAGAATGCAACTAAACCTGATGGAGACGTTACTGTTATTGTGTTCCAGCAACAATTTCATGCTATCAATCATTCTTCCCAAATGGATATTTTATGCCGCAATCGGATAAACAAAAACTCAGTCAGACTGAAATCAGATATAAAAAGTGCATATAAAAAAAGAAAACAGGGAGATCATATCTGCCAGTGAAAGATCATTAAAAGTAGAGTAGTTTGACAGAACAATCGCGTGACATGAAAAACAACATTATTCTATCCTTAGTCACACTATAAGGACAGAATGGACATTAGTATGTATCCCAATGTTCTGAAATATCGATTTCGACACTTGATCATATCAGAGAACGATTGCGAGTGGAACGAAGATTTTGAATAGAAAAGCTTTATTTCACTTGAACTAAAATTTAAAAAAGTAATATTACAGATATTTTGCTGAATCAATCACATTTAGTAAACATATAAGATTAAAGAAAGGAATCTTTTATTTTCTATCTGAATTACACGCTTTGTATCTTCATTCAAAATGCGCGCGCAATAATCTTAGTTAAGTAAGGATCACAGCGCCAATGCGAGCGGCGGAATACGTAATTACACGTAATTCGATCGTAATCGATTTCTCGCACTTGATCCGTAATATCGAAACGTAACATAAAAATGTCAGTTTTAGGCGGGAAGCGTGGCAAGAAGAAGCAGAAATTCAGATTCAGAAGTTCACTTTCAAATAAAACTTAACAAATTTGAACTTTTCATTCTTTAATTTTAATTAACGCTACGTTTAAGAATGAGTTGCAACACCGTGCTTTAAATTAATAAATTACAATGCTTTGTTACAGATACCTTTCAGGTTATTTCTACTTCTTCCATGTTCGATAATTCTTGTCTGATTGCGATGACTTCCTTTCTTCGAATCAAAATCACACTGACAACGATTTTCGCATCGAATTATAAGTCGCATTTTTGTTCCTCTGGAGTTTTCAGCGAGAATAGTGACCGCGGGTATTCATTATACCCGTGAGTAGTAACATTTTCTTTCTTGTCTATTCGTTAGCTTAGGATAGGTTTTCTTGCACATTGCGGTTTTTAATATTAATAACAATGCATTAATATTTAATTTTTATGCATAGTATAATAATTTTAATATACATGTATAGTGTAATATTATAATATTATATTTTAGTATGTCATAATATTATAGTATAATACTATATTACTATATTATAGTATAATATTATAATATTATACTATAATAATATATATTATAATTTTAATTTATATGTATAGTATAATATTAGCATAACATAATATTACAACAGAATGCATACGCAATTGTAAATATACAAAGAGTATATTCATTATACTTATATATGCAAAATCAAAGTATATGATTATTTGCAAAGATAAAATATCCATGTGAATGCATGGAACGTACGTAATGAAAAATGAATGTTTGAATAAATTTTACAATGATTTTGTTTGAGTATTTTGCAATGGAAAAGTGGGGTGTCCCCCGACTTCATTGCTATGAGTATTGCAATTTTTTTTGAAATCATTATGAAATGTTAATGGTGGTGTATATTATAGTTGTGTAATTGTACATGTTTAATTTTCTCTCAAGTTTTATGATAATATTATCTGATTTCCATATTCATAGCTTCCATATTTCAAGCATGAAATTTAAAATATGGAGATATTAAAGGTCAAAACGTATCAAATTTTACGTGCAAGAAGACATTTTGCGACAAGTAGATTTCAGAATCGGAACAAGAGTTTCAAATGTTATCTTTGTACCTTTAAACATGTGCTCTGATGAAGGAATGGCCTGAGGTATATTTCTATCAATTCATTTCATTCACTGTTAGACACAATTGTTGCTCATTGAATTTCATATTACATGCATTAAATTTTCTTTCACTGAAACTTTTACTTAAAATATTTCAATGATTTGCTAGATCGTTGAAGTAAATTATAAATACAGAATCATTGATAATTGAATCAATTATAATCAATTTTAGAGTCATTGAAAACTGAAACAAACTGATTAGCTCGTTAGACATAAAACAAACACGTTTAATCATCTTTCTAGCTCAGGATCTCCAAGATTTCCTTTCCATGTTCGTTGCCACTCATGTGCTCAGGTGTTATTTAGATGGAGAAAAGAGCATAATGATTGTAGTTTGTAAGCTTAACAATTTCTCAGTGACAGACTAAGATATCGTGCACGACATATTTTCATCAACGTGTGTGTAGTATTGCGTCGTTTTTAAAATATTAATCAATGTCAGAATTGCTATCGATAAATTCGCAATAATCATCAGATACAGTACACAGATAGTACACACATTATTCTGAATATATTCACGCAACACGATCACGAATATTTCATTAAAATTGTAATCGAAAAGTAGTTAACTAAAATATGTATAATTATTTTTATCACACTGTATGCAATGTATGTACGTAAATTAAAGTTCCGGGACGTTTTATCTAGGTCCTTGCATTCTTGCGTGGAACAGTGGAGATTATGTTGGTATGCCAGACATATTGTGTTGGTATGCCTGACATATTGATGTCTTTGTCTTTTTTTTTTTTTAATATAGCGAGAAAGAGATCGGATAAGATATGTAGCTTACTTATATGTCTGTTAATTATAAGTAAGGTTAGTCTCCACTCTACTTCTGTCCATCGTTCTTTCGAATTTCGAATTTCTCGAAACGAATGTGTATCGAGCTCGAGATTACGTACTTTAGCAACAATTATTAGGATCGTTACTCGTTCGTATGTGTTACACGTTGCGTTAAACGAATCGCGATTTTTCATCGTTTTTCGAGAGGAATTAATTCGTAGCAGAGTCGCGAAGTAATGAAAATTTCGCTTGTAAACTTGCAGACTGAAGTCGCGAATGGACGTTAATTTTCGTTAATTTGAATTAGAACTTTTCTTCGTTTGCTTGGCGGGCTCGTCGATAACCGGTGCTAAGTGACAACGTTGATACGGTTGAGTGAGTCACGACGTAAAAATCGAAGCTGTGGCCCGCCTCTTCCTTTCGCGGTCCGACTCTGTGAATGAATCCATTCTGACAATAAGAATCCACCCATCAATCGACTCGCTCGGTGATATCGATTGTTCAAGAGCCGTTAAAAACTCTCGCGTTCACGCAGTGAGTCTCACGATCAGAGAAGATTCGGGTGGATTTTTTTCAGCATCATTTATACATTCCAAGATTCTTTTTGGAAGAAACATAAATTGAGACTGAAACTTAGATATTTTAATTAACTTTGACGTGTTTAGAAGAAAAATTTAATTCTTCTTTAATTCTCTCGTAAAAAGATCATAGAAATTTATTTTTTCAGAGGCGATTTTTAAACACCAGGGAAAAGGTGAATATTAATAATTGAAGAAGAAAAAAAAAAAACGCGATGGACGATTCCTCCGCGGAGAAACAATATCTTGAAAAGTTGAATGCGGATGGATATGATCTTTACATCTCTGAAAAGATTCCTACTTGTCAGATTGCGGAACTTTGCGGGACTTGAAAAGTATTGCTTGCCAGAGGTAAAAAAGTTGCTTCAATTTTCTTCATTACCGTTCAATACTTTCTTAAAAATATATTAAATACCAGAATTTGCAATGGGACATAATTTCTCATTAAGAGACACTATATTTTGTCGCAGAAAGAAATTCAGGACAAAAGGTCAAACACAGTCGGGACAATTCAAAGAAGAAGGACCAAATTATTTGATGAGAATCGAGATATTCAAAA